TAAGCCACTCAGACTTTCAAGCCTGCTCTGCCAGGTCAGATTCTTTGGTGCACCACTCTGCCTTGGTTAGTTGAGTGATGAAAATTAACCAGGAGACACAGTAAACTCCTCTGCTCCTCAGTGCCATGGGATCTGTGACATACACCTGGGGCAAGTTATACTGGATCTCAGAGTACTTTGTGCTGCAGTGAAGTAGATAACAGACTCATCTCAGACTTAAACCCATTACCTTGTTTACTTGGAGGTAATACCACTTCTGAGGGCTTGTTAGGTTAGTTGATTGACATTTAGTGTGCAGTTTAGAATAAAGCCAACATTGCAGATTTCAATCCAAGTTCTAGATTATGTAGACTTGGGATCTCCTCCTTGCCCTGCCCTGTGGTAAAATTGTGGCTTATGTGGTGGTTTAATGATCTTTGAGGATGTTACTTCGAGGACAAAAGAACTGAACAAAGGCAGACAAGTTCTTTGGAAAATGCAATCGGTTTACTTTGAGTACTTCTGGAAAGGCAAAGGAAAATTTTAATTTTGACAGGATAAAGGCATATTTCCCTACCAATTCAGCTTCCAAATTCTTTTAAATGGATGCTAAGAAAGTCAATAAATCAAAAGTGCTAAGGATGTTCTGATGTTTACTGAGAGATTCTGGTACTTGCACATCAAAATATAATACATCATTAACTCTTCAATTCCTAGCTCTATTTATAGGTTCAGCAAATAGGCATTAAGGATGTTCCTTTGAGCAGAGGGCTCTTGATGATAATTTTTTTCTTATATGAGTCTGATGTTTGCACTTTTTTTTAGCCTGATTACTTACTCTTTTAATTCCACAAAACAGGCACAAATAATCATCTGGAAATGTTAGGGAAGCAAGGATCTGGTGAGAGAGTGGAATTGGAGGAAATCAGTATCTGCAGGAAAACAGTACCACAAAAATTAATGGGGTTAAAGGCTGACAAATCACCAGGGCCTGATAATCTGTATCCTGGAGTCCTAAAGAAAGTGGCCCTAGAAATGTTGGATGCAGAGGTGATCACCTTCCAAAATTCTATAGACTGGAATAGTTCTTACAAACTGAAGGGTGGTAAATGTAACCCCACTATTTAAAAAGGGAGAGAGAGAAAAACTGATCATCACAGATCAGTTAGCCTTAACATCAGTAATCACGAAATGCTAGAGTCAGTTATAAAAGATGTGATAACGGAACATTTGGATACCATTATCAGGATTGGACAAAGCCAACATGTTTATGACAAGCAAGTCATGCTTAGCAAGTCTACTGGAGTTTTTTTGAGAATGTAGCTAGTAGAATAGACAAGGGTGAACCAGCGGATGTGATCTATTTGTATTTTCAGAAGGCTTTAGATAAAGTCTCACATAAGAGGTTAGTGGGCAAAGTTAAAGTACATGGGATGGGGGTAATGCATTGCTATGAATTGAGATTTGTTGATAGACAGGAAACAAAGAACGGGAATAAATGGATCTTTTTTTCCCCAAGTGGAAGTCAGTAACTAGACAGTGACAGTGACATTGACTCGTTGAACTGAGAGATCAGTGCTTGGACCCCATCTATTCACAATATATATAAATGACCTGGGTGAGGGAACCAAGTGCAATATTTCCAAGTTTGCTCATGACAAAATACTTAGTGGAGTTGTGAGGAGGATACAAGGAGGCTTCAATGTAGTTGAAACCAGTTGATTGACGAGGAAAACACTTGGTAGTGCAGTACAACATGGCTAAATGTGAAGTTATACACTTTGGCATAAAAGACAGAAAGGAACAGTCTTATTTAAATTATTTTAATCATGATATATTGGGAAGTGTGAACATACAAATGGATCTGGGTGTCCTTGCACACCAGTCAATGAAAAGAGACAGGTAGGTATAGCAAGCAATCAGGAAGTCAAATGATATATTGACCATCATTGCAAGAAGATCTGAGTTGACAAGTAGGGATGTCTTACATCCTGTACATTCCGAAGTAGGAAAATGTTGAGATAGCAAGAACTGCAGATGCTGGAGTCCAAGATAACAAAGTGTGGAGCTGGAGGAACACAGCAGGCCAGGCAGCATCAGAGGAGTGGGAAAGTTGACGTTTCGGGTCAGGACCCTTCTTCAGAAATGTTAACTCTGCTTTCTCTCCACATATGCTGCCAGACCTGCTGAGTTTCTCTCTCAATTTCTGTTTTTGTCTCATCTAACTATTCCAATAGCATTTTGGAGCACTTGATCCATAGTCTTGTGTGCCTTGCATACAGCTTTGGCCTCCTTGCCTAAGAAAGGATATATATGCTGTAAACGGTTTGCAGCAGAGGTTTACTAGGCAGATACCAGGAATGGCAGCAGTGTCCTATATGAAGAGACTGGTTCGACTGGGCCTGTACTCACTAGAGTTTAGAAGGATGAGAAGATATCTGATTCAAATGTATAAAATTCTAACAGGGCTGTACAGACTCAATGCAAGGAGAGTATTTTCCTTGGTTGGAGAGTATAGAACGAGGGGATATAGCCTCAGGATAGAGGGTGAGGTCAGAGGTAAGAAAAAATAGTTTGCTCAAAGAGTAGTGGATAGGTACCATTGCTGGAATGTTTTCAGGGCCCATAGTCTTTGCAGTATCCAGCGCTTTCAGCCATTTCTTCACATTGCATGAAGTGAATTGAATTGGTTGAAGACTGGTATTCTTAAATGGGGATTTCAGTAAGAGGCCAAGATCGAACATACACTAGGTACTTCTGGCTGATGCTTGTTGCAAATGCTTCAGCCTTGACTTTTCCACTGATGTACTAAGCTGCCTCATCATTGAAGATGTGAATATATATAGAGCCTCCTCCAGTGAGTTGTTTAACTGTCCATCACCATTTAGAAATGGATGTGATGGAACTGCAGAGCCTAGATCTGACCCATTTGTTGTGGCATTCCTGTGCTGTATCTACCAAAAACTGGTAACTCTTTCACATTCAAGTACTGATTTGTTATGGCATCAGATTACCATCTCAATCTTAGGAATACCTGCTGATGCTCCTGGCCTGTCCTCCTGCGCTCTTCAATGAGCCGGTGTTGATACCCTGGCTCGATAGTAATGGTAGAGTAGGAGCTATGCCAGATTATGTGATTACAGATTGTGGTTGAATCCAGTTCCAGTGCTACCAATGGCCCACAGCATCTCAATGATGCCCAGCTTTGCTAGCTGTGTTCAAAACCTATTCCATTTAGCACAGTGGTAGTGCCACTCAGCATGCTGAAGGGATCTTCAATGTGAAAGCAGGACTTTGTATTCACAAAGATTATGTGATGGTCATTCCTAACAACAGTGTCATGGACAGATGCATCAGTGACCGGTATATTGATGAGGATTGATGAACCAATTTTGGACCCAGTTTGTGAACTTGAGATCAAAACTGGCTTACAAATAGGAGGCAAAAATGCTGGTGAAGGGTTGTTTTGGAAACTGGAAGCCTGCGACCAGCCAGTGTATCACAGGGTTTTGTACTGAGTCCGTTATTGTTTCCTACATACATTAATGACTTGGATGTGAATATAGAAGGTCTAATTAGTAAGTTTGCAGATAACATGAAAATTGGTGATGTTGATAGTGCGGGGGATGATCTCAGGCTACAGTCTGATATTGATCAGTGGTCAATTGGGCAGAGCAATGGCAGATAGAATTTACTTATAATAAGGGAGGGATGTACATCAGGAATGGTAGGTCCCTACGGAGTACTGAGGAACAAATGGACCTTGGCATTCAAGTCTACAGATCCTGTTGCTGTCAGCAGAGGAAGACAAGGTGGTGAAGAAGCCATGCAGGCTGCTTGCCTTCATTAGCCAGGCTTAGAATAAAAGAGCAAGGAAGCCTTGTTACAACTTTATAAGTGGCAATAGTTTTCCTTGCCCATGTTTGACCTGATTCCATGAGACTTTGTGGGGAGAGAAAATGTTAAAGATTCCTAGGGCAACTACCTCTTGACTGTGCACCACTATGCTGCCATCTCTGATGGGTCTGGCTTGTCAATGTGACAAGAATACACACAGAGATAGTAGGAACTGCAGATGCTGGAGAATCTGAGATAACAAGGTGTAGAGCTGGATGAACACAGCAGGCCAAGCAGCATCAGAGGAGCAGGAAGGCTGACGTTTCGGGCCTAGACCCTTCTTCAGAAAAGACCCGAAACATCAGCCTTCCTGCTCCTCTGATGCTGCTTGGCCTGCTGTGTTCATCCAGCTCTACACCTTGTTATCTAAGAATACATACAGAATGGTGATGTTGATGTTTTAATCATAATCATTCTGATAGAATAATGCAGTTATAGACAATGTTGGATTGTTGCTTAACTAATCTGTGGGACAGCTCCCCCAATATGAGCAATTTTTCCAGCTGTTGGCAAGGGAGAAGTTTGCAGGATCCCAACAGGCCTGAGTTTGCCATCACTGTTTCCAGAGACTATGTTAAATCTTGGCAGTCCATCTAATTTCATGTCTTAGATTTCATTGCAGTGTGATCTAATTGAATGGCTTCCTAGGCCTTTTGAAAGTACATTTAAGACTCAGCTACATTGCTGTAGGATCTGTCTGAATTTCAGACTTAAAAATTTGAATTGAAATTCCAACATCTGACCATTTACCTGAAGAATAATGGAAATGAGCTTAAGTGCAATGGCATTGTAGTAACCTGCCCTGACATTTTCCTTCGGCTGTTAGGAACCCAAAAATACTGGGAAAACAGAAGTATGACAATCATAAATTAACTGCGACTAACCCTTCTATGTTTGTCCAATAATCAAAAACCGATTTTCTTAATGAAATTTGTATTTGCATTAAAAATGGAAGGGGTTAAAGTGGAAGGTAGATATTCAAAAAGAGACCATTCTTGACTTAAGCCATAACAGAAAGGTTCTTCATTGAATGTGTCATTAATAACGTTGAAATTAGATCCATTTTTAGATGTTCATTTTTTTACTCCTGTTTTTGTTGATGTTCCACTTTATTTTAATCGCAGGATTTATCTCCATCAGAATTTGAAGACAAAACTCCTGGACGGCTCCAGGCCATATGGCCACCTCCCAGACCAAAAGATGAGGAAGAGAAAGTGGGTTTGAAGTATACTGAAGCAGGTAGGAATCAATACAATCACTGGTCAACACTTACTCCTTAAGAAAATGGGCAGAAAGTGCACTGATGGATTTGTTTTACCATATTTAACCCCGATTTGTTTTGTATGATTTTGAATCATTGTGACATATCTGTAAAATGTATATTCTATAAATTGGAATGCACCTTTTTGTGTCCTACTAACATCCACAGCTTTAGTGCAATAAACAGTCACGAGCTGAATCTGAAAAGATATGGTAAGCAGAAGCTGAATTGAACTTTAGTGATCAGAAACATAAAGCTCATCTAGTAAAATCTTTCAGGGTATAGTCGATGTACTATTATCATGTAACAGACCAACCTCGTGGTAAAGCTAACCAAAAGAACTGCAGATGCTGTAAATCAGGAACAAAAACAGAAGTTGCTGGAAAAGCTCAGCAGATCTGGTGGCATCTGTGAAGAAAAGATCAGAGTTAACGTTTTGGATTGAGGAAGGATCACGGGACCCGAACGTTAACTCTGATTTTTTCTTCACCGATGCTGCCAGACCTGCTGAGCTTTTCCAGCAACTTCTGTTTTAGCTTGTGGTAAAGCTGTTACTTTTTCTTTTATTTTGTATAATAGCCGTGCAGGTAATTAGGTACTTAATTTTAAGTTTTACCTTTTACATGCTTTAAATGTCAACAAATGTCACAAGAAGAAAATCATGTTCAGCAAAGGATTGTGCTGGAGAGATCACAGAGGAGATTTGCCAGGCTTACTGCCTGGGCTGGAGAGTCTGTCATGTGAGGAAAGATCACACATGCTGGGGTTGTTTTCCGTGGAACAGCAAAGGTTCACCGAGAACCTGATAGAGGTGTATAAGATTATGAGGGGCATCAACAAGGCGGTTAGGAAGGGACTTTTTCTATAAATATAATGGTTAATGACCACGGGCAGAGATTTAAGCCTAGGAAAGTTGAGGGAAAATGTTTTCCTTTAGAAGGTGGTGGGAGTCTGGGACCCATGGTTGAAAGTGTAGTTGAGTTTGTAATTCTTGTAACGTGTAAGCAGCATTTAGATATTCCATTTCAACTCCCCCTCCCATTCCTCAGACGACATGTCCATCCTGGGCCTCCTGCAGTGCCACAACGATGCCACCCGAAGGTTGCAGGAACAGCAACTCATATTCCGCTTGGGAACCCTGCAGCCCAATGGTATCAATGTGGATTTCACAAGTTTCAAAATCTCCCCTCCCCCCACCGCATCCCAAAACCAGTCCAGCTGGTCCCTGCCTCCCTAACCTGTTCTTCCTCCCACCTATCCCCTCCTCCCACCTCAAGCCGCACCTCCATCTCCTACCGACCAACCTCATCCCGCCCCCTTGACCTGTCCGTCCTCCCTGGACTGACCTATCCCCTTCCTAACTCCCTACCTACACTCACCTTTCCTGGCTCCATCCCCGCCTCTTCGACCTGTTTGTTTCCTCTCCACCTATCCTCTCCTCTATCCCTCTTCTATCCGCCTCCCACTCTCTCCCTATTTATTTCAAAACCCCCTTCCCCTCCCCCTTTTCTGATGAAGGGTCTAGGCCCGAAACGTCAGCCTGTCTGCTCCTATGATGCTGCTTGGCCTGCTGTGTTCATCCAGCCCTGCACCTTGTTGTCTCGGATTCTCCAGCATCTGCAATTCCTATTATCTCTGATTCAATTTAGATATTCACTCGTGTTGCCATAGGCCATATGGGCCAATGGCAGGAAAATGGAATTAGGGCAATTAGGTCTTTGTTGACTGTCATGGGTGTGATGGGCTGAATGGCCTCTTGTGCTGTAAGTGTAGGAGGCAACATCACATGAATGTTCAGTTGCTGTCTCTGCATGTTAGGACACAAAACAGGTTAACACTCCTTGATCATTACTGATAAGAGAAAAGTGTTGCTGAAGGTTTGTGTCTTGTACTCCTTGGGACAAGTGCAAGAATGACCAATTCGCTTCTGAATGGCTTGGTGCAGTATAATTTGCAGGTTTAAAACCAAAACATCAAGCTATTGAGCATGTTTGCAAAATCTGCTGTTCGTTATTAGATTCATTACATGATGGGATAGCAATGTAAACTCCCTGCAATAATGATTACTCCTGTTGGTGGCACCATAAGAGCACAATCTGGTCAATAGTTGGTAATAAATCACTCAAAATACTTTTTGATGTTTTCTCCTCAATTTCTATTATCCCTCAGTACTTTTAATGTCTAATATCCAATTTAATTATTTAAGCATAAAATTAATAAAAATCAGAAAATGATATATCACATAATTGGAAGTATTTGCTGATTCCAGTGCAAATTTAGTTTTGATAGATATTCCTTGATACATTCAACACTAGCAACGTGGGAAGCTTTGATTAATACAACTGAAAAATAAGTTACCACAAAAATTAAATATTGTAATTCAGGGTCAATTTAGCGTGTATGATTGGCCTGATTTTAAATAACTGAAAACGAGTTTTAAATAAACACCAATTTTCTACTGAAGCTACTTTCCAGAAATAAACAATTCCTTGGTCATTTTTTTTTAAAATTTCAAAATCTTTCCAAAATATACCTTATATTTTTTTAACATTCCAGTTTATTTGAAAACCAACTCGAAAGCCTGAAAATCTCCCCAGTTATTGGAAACTCCCAGTGGTGATTAATATCTCTTGGGGCCTGGTCAGCCTTGTTATCCTGATTTTAAGATGACAGGTTTGATTTTGTGAACGCCTCCACTTTGTAAACTTAAAAGCACATGGTTTTCCCACTCCCTTCCTGCTCACCCAAGCCAGTCTTCTACATTAGGGTAGATGGGAGGGAAGGCAATTGCGTCTATTGAGGCTGTTTGAGGTCAGTTGTAGGCCACTTTAGGTTCTCATTCCAGTTCCTCTCCTACTTCATCCATCGCAGGGCAGGTCAGATAAGTAGGCCCAATAGCTGTCTCTGCGCTGGCTGCTGCTGAGCAAAGAGGTGGGGTAGCTGTGGAGGGGGGAGGCCATTGGAAGCATTTCCCGGGCCTGCCAAGCTCCTTATGCTCTCCCAACCACCCCCCCCACCCCGTCTCCTCCAAACACTCCCGACTCCAGGGTCTTCTAGCTGGTCCCTTCCAAAGCTTCCAACTTAGGATCCCTTCTTCTCAATGGTCCTAGCAGTGGTTACTGTTGAACCTGCCACTATTGGGTCTACAAGAATTGATGGCCAATCAAATTGGCTGGGTGCTCTCCAAGGCGGAACTTGCTCCCAACTGAGGTAGGATTCCCTCCCTGGAATCAAGTAAGGAAGATCCCAGTGTGAAATTGTTACGGGTCAGCTGGCTTGTGGGGGACTGGACTGATGATTTATTTTTCATCCGGGGGAAAGGAGGTTAGGGAATACAACTCCCTGTAACATCCAGCCCAAAATATCTTCCTAAAAATTAGTGCAATAGGTGAAAAAGACACTGTATTGAATACAACTTGTACATAAAACTCAGCATTTTTTTTACTGGTTGTGGCAATATCTAGGAAACTGCACCAAGAAAACCAGTGCAATTGAGCAAAGTTTTTTGTGTCCTTAACTTTACTGATTGAATTGTCTGTCAATACCTTATTTACTGATTGAAGGCTGCAAATCCTTTCAAAATTGGATTTAATTGGGTAGCAATTGGGGAGCCTGTCACCCATTGTTCAGATGTAAAACAAGTGCCTTGAAGTATAAGAGGACTAACAATCATAGAAGTATTCCTTTAAAACAATTCTGGATAACAAGATGGGTGATGACCTGCCCTGCTTGGGAATCTTCAGCTCCCATCACCATCATCTCAATGTAAAGTGTTTCCTTTTAAGCAGAACCTGAAACTAAATCTTTGTCTATCAAGCCAGGACAAGCTGGCTGCTTTCTGTACAGGTGTCACGGGCTGAGCATCCCCACCCAACTACCACCCAGGATTCCGACCCCACCACCAAAGACATTTTTCTGTCCCCACCCTTATCTGCTTTCCGGAGGGACCACTCTCTCCGTGATTCCCTTGTCCGCTCCACACTCCCCTCCATCCCCACTACACCCGGCACTTTTCCCTGCAACCGCAGGAAGTGCTACACCTGCCCCTACACCTCCTCCCTCACCCCCATCCCAGGCCCCAAGGAGACTTTCCACATCAAGCAGATGTTCACCTGCACATCTGCTAATGTGGTATACTGCATCCGCTGTACCCGGTGTGACCTCCTCTACATCGAGGAAACCAAGCGGAGGCTCGGGGACCGCTTTGCAGAACACCTACGCTCGGTTCGCAATAAACAACTGCACCTCCCAGTCGCGAACCATTTCAACTCCCCCTCCCATTCCTCAGATGACATGTCCATCCTGGGCCTCCTGCAGTGCCACAATAATGCCACCCAAAAGTTGCAGGAACAGCAACTGATATTCCGCTTGGGAACCCTGCAGCCCAATGGTATCATTGTGGATTTCACAAGCTTCAAAATCTCCCCTCCCTCTACCGCATCCCAAAACCAGCCCAGCTCGTCTCCGCCTCCCTAACCTGTTCTTCCTCCCACCTATCCCCTCCTCCCACCTCAAGCCGCACCCCCATCTCCTACCAACCAACCTCATCCCGCCCCCTTGACGTGTCCATCCTTCCTGGACTGACCTATCCCCTCCCTACCTCCCCACCTACACTCACCTTTACTGGCTCCATCCCCACCTCTTTGACCTGTCTGTTTCCTCTCCACCTATCTTCTCCTCTATCCATCTTCTGTCCGCCTCTCCCTCTCTCCCTATTTATTTCAGAACCCCCTTCCCCTCCCCCATTTCTGAAGAAGGGTCTAGGCCCGAAACGTCAGCCTTCCTGCTCCTATGATGCTGTTTGGCCTGCTGTGTTCAACCAGCTCTACACCTTGTTATCTCAGATTTTCCAGCATCTGCAGTTCCTACTATCTCTCATTAGAATTCTTGTAGTCTGTGCTGTGATACCATAGAATTATGGTAGGTTACATGGCATATGTTTGGCACAAAGACAATGCAAGCTCGCCAAAGAACAAAA